CTCATTTATTTTTATGCTTTTTGTGTTTAGTTTAATCTCTTCAAAACAGTTTCTTCTGATTAAATTCTTCACTGACTCATAAATCATATAGTAGCATCATTTTCTTCAAGAAGGTTCTTGATTTTTTTTCCATTTCTTCAGTGACACATTAGTCATTCAGTAGCATGTTATTTCACTTCTTGGCATTTTTAATTTCTTCTTTTTTTCCTGTTGTTGACTTTATTTTGTGGTTTTCATTTAAGGGGATATGCAGTAGCTGCGTAATGCAGACTATCATATGCAGTAGCGTATTATTTAACTTCATGGTGTTGTAAACTTCTATTTTTCTTCCTGTTGTTGATTTTGTATTGTGGCTTTTCATTTAAGGGGATGTATAGTCACTGCGTAACGGAGACTGTCATATCCAGATGTGAAGATACAATGCAGTATGCACCTCTACTTCCAGATCAAAGACGGATGCCCAATAAAAGTGCTAACTATATCTTGACAGTAGGAGGCTGGACTATGCCATTGTCCATGCCCACAATGATGGACATATGACTGTATGAAGAACTATACTATAGTAATAATACAGGGGAACTCAGTGGGGGAGGGAGAAAGACTTGGGATGGGCATAAGGGAAATTCCTGGACCTATGTAACCATATCATAAAATTATAATAATAAATAATAAAAAAGAAACACTAGCCAAATCTAACCTATGGACCCCACTGACATGGGTTCCAAAGCAAACAAAGCAAATATAAAAACTTTCTCTGACATGACTGGGAAATCCAAAAATTTGGATACTGGACAATAATAGTTACCATTTACTTTTTTAACACTGATTTTAAAAAATAATGTTATACTTTTAAAAATTCTTTTTTTTTTTTTTTTAAGATTTATTTTTATTATTTTCTCATTGGAAAGGCGGATATACAGAGAGGAGAGACAGAGAGGAAGATCTTCCGTCCGATGATTCACTCCCCAAGTGAGCGCAACGGTCGATGCTATGCCGATCCGAAGCCAGGAGCCTCTTCCGGGTCTCCCACGCGGGTGCAGGTTCCCAAAGCTTTGGGCCGTCCTCGACTGCTTTCCCAGGCCACAGGCAGGGAGCTGGAAGGGAAGCGGGGCTGCCGGGATTAGAACCGGCGCCCATATGGGATCCCGGGCGTGCAAGGTGAGGACCTTAACCACTTGCGCCACCGCGCCGGGCCCTAAAAATTCTTTATGATACACATATAGCCACAACAAATGCAATAGATTACAGAGAACAGAAAATGGTGTCTGAAAGGCCCAATGTCTGGGAGAGAGGCGGTAAAAGGGCAGAAATGAAAGCAAGCAGGTCAGAAGCTAGCTGTAAAAGCTAGGAAATGTTTCCTGTGTTAATTTCTATACTTTTGAATACATTTGAAACTTTCACAATTAAAAGATGTTTGTGGATGGATAGGTATAAATAAGAAACACAAAAGATCTATACAATTTTATAACTGAAATTATAAAACTTTATTCAACGATATATTTTTTAAAAAATCTCTATAGAGAACTAACTCATGTTCCTAAATGAGAGGGTTCAATTAAAAGACCTCAATTTTCCTTAATCTGTACATTCAGTGCAATTCAAGTCAAAATAGAAAAATAAATTTTTAATGGAATTTGAAAAAAAATCCTAAATTTATGTTGAAGGGGGAAAAAAAGGCCACCAAAACAACTGAAGCAATTTTGAGAAATAGGATGGAAATTTGTCTTTCTTGTTGCTAACGGGTACAAAATACATTACATAATCAAGGTAATTAAAACAGTGTGATAGTGGCACAAAGACATATGGGCCAATAGTATGAAGTTGAGAAACCAGAAACAGATCCATGCATTTGCAAGAATTCTGTCCAGGACCACACTGGCTCGACAATTCAGAGGGGGAAAGATTCATAGATGGTGTGGTGTGAACAACTATCCAACGCAACATTCTGACGTTAGATCTCTGTGTCATACATGGAAGCCAATTTTAAGTGGGAAGTGATGCATAATAAAATAGCATATGTCTGAATATACAAATGTTCAGGCTGACTACGCTAGAATACATAATGAAGTACAGTAGTCAGATGCCTGCACCTAAACTTAGAATCACCAGGAGTGCAGAAGCCACAAACACAGACTGTGCAGGTGTGTTGTGCTGGCAACTCAAATATCACGAGCTGTGCTGCCTTCAGTTGTGCGATTTTGAGTAAAGAACTACTCTTGCTAAAAGTTCCAATCCACAGATAAGGAAAATTCTCCCTTGATGTATTTTAGGGTTACATTCCTGGAAATTTTACTATATTACACTTTACTAAAACAAATAATGCTTATATGATAGATGGAGTTAAGATCTAGCCCAAGATAATAAAAACCAATATCCGGTGGAGCACTCTAAAATTGTACAGGACACAAGGGAGGACTACCCCATGAATTACAAAACACCTAGCATCCCCAGGCTTGCTCTGTAAACCCCAGTAGCAAATTCCAGTCATAAAAATGACTGAATGTTGGGGCTGGCACAACGACTCAATTGGCTAATTCTCCACCTGCAAGTTCTAGCATCCTATATGGACCCTAGTCTATGTCCTGGCTGCTCCAATTGCCATCCAGCTCCTTGTTTGTGGCCTGGGAAAGCAGAAGATGGTCCACAGCCTTGGGACCCTGTACCCATGTGGGAGACTGGACGGTGCTCCTGGCTCCGGCCTTTGGATCTGTTAAGCTACAGTTGTTGTGGCCATTTGGGGAGAGAACCAGTGGATGGAAGATTCTTTCTGTCCCTCCTTCTCTCTGTATATCTGCTTTTCTAGATGAATTTAAAAAATAATAATAACTATGTCCTCACAAGCCCCAAAATATTCCACAGGCACAGTGCTGCCTCCTCAGAAAACCACTACCCAAGAAAACTTCACATAAGGAGACATGCAGAGATGTTCACTGCAGCTTCCTTCATTATAGCAAAACAGTAGGAAAAAAAACAAATCTCCATTAGAAGTGAGTGGATTCAATATAAAACCATCATCAGGAATGCTTCAAGTGAACATTCTTCATCTACACACATGCCTAAGAATGTATTTCCAAAACAATACCGAATGACAAAAGGTACAAGATGACACCCACAGCATCATACTAGTTGCGTGATTAAATCAAATTAGAAAGCAAAGGGCAGTATGTGTTATTTATGAGGTACATATATACAGGAAAACTATCAACATGTACACATGAATGATGCACAACAATTTTAGCAGTGTTTACCTCTGCAGAGGGAAGAAGGGAGAAGGAATGGGGCCAAGCAAGGGAGCAGAAGGGCTCTGAACTACATCTGCGTGATATTTTATTTCTTTAAAAGAAGACATTTTAGGCCAGTGCAAAGGCTCAACTAGCTAATCTTCCACCCCTATGCGTTGGCATTCCATATGGGTGCCGGTTCATGTCCCAACTGCTCCACTTTCCATCCCACTCCCTGCCTGTGGCCTGGGAAAGCAGTAGAGGGTGGCCCAAAGCCTTGGGACCCTGCACCCCACATGGGAGACACAGAAGAGCTCCTGGCTCCTAGATTCGGATTGGCTCAGCTCTGACTTTTGCAACCATTTAGGCAGTGAATCAGTGGATGGAAGATCTTTCTTTGTCTTCTTCTCTCTGTATAACCACTTTTCCAACAAAAATAAAGAAATCTTAAAAAAAGAAAACATTTAGGCAGATGTGCTATGTCAATTATTTATCTGGATGCAGGAGTATATGTATGTTTTATCCTACCCAATGATACAGCCCCTATTTTCAAATTCTTTGAGATAATCCTTGCTTTTTATAAAGGTAATGGCAACTGGGTACATGCTGGATTGAAGGCCAGAGATGAGTGACCAATCGTGGTTGTCCAGCTAAGGACTAATGCAGGTCTGCACACAGCTATGGAAATGAAGGCCTGTAAAGAGGGGGAGCTCTGAAGAAAAGACTATTCAATTGGTGCTGTTTTGGCTATTGCTCAGAGAACCTCTATTACCAACACACAGGATCAACGGCAGAGCTGACAAGACACTGGGCTCCATTTACCACACGGCTTCAAAATGATGAGACAAATAGCCCCAAGGGCTTCCGCGAAAAGGGTTTCTCACTTTCTTACCAAGCCACATTTTCTTACTAAGTGTGGAAAACAAAGACTGGGCACAGCACAGACTGCTTCTGCAGGAAGAAGTAACCACTGAGTCATTTTTGTCTTGTTAACTTAGTGTGTGAATACCATTTGGGATTATGTCCTGTTTGATTACAGATACGTTATTAGTGACAAAAGCAATCAAAATCAAAAAATAGCAGCTTAATTTTTATTTCAAGTTCAGTCTTTCTTCCAACTATGAAGCTAGACTGCAAGAGAAGGTCCATTAGGATCTATGGTATTTAAAACAGGTAACCCTGAGTAAGAACGTACAACCATGAAGACCTGGTTTAGTAGTTGACAACATGGCCATCATAGGACCAGCTTTTGTTTTGGGGTCATTCACCCCAACCAGGTGTTTGGAGTTTGTTTAAACCTTTTTTTTTTTTTCAAGATTTTTTTAAATTGGAAACTCAGATGTACAGAGGAGAGCCAGAGAGGAAGATCTTCCATCCGATGATTCACTCCCCAAGTGGCTACAATGGCCAGAGCTGAGCTGATCCGAAGCCAGGAGCTTCTTCCAGGTCTCCCACACGGGTGCAGGATTCCAAGGCTTTGGGCCGTCCTCAACTGCTTTCCCAGGCCACAAGTAGGGAGCTGGATGGGAAGTGGAGCTGTTGGACCGGCACCCATATAGGATCCTGGCGCGTGCAAGGCAAGGACTTCAGCCTCTAAGCTACTGTGCCGGACCCTGTTCAAATCTTTTAAATGTATGTGCGGTGCGTTCTTTGTTGCCCCAATGATTGGCTCTCCAAACCTGCACTGGGGGATCTGACCCCTGCGCACATTGCCTGTACAATTAACAATACAGGCTCATCACCGGGCTGAACGCTAAGGGCTATTATAAAAAGACTTACTGCACAGGAGAAGCGTGGTTCTGTGGTTCTGTGGTTCTGTGGTTGTGTGGTTCAGCCGCCCAAGCACTGCTGCTGGTGGGAGAGATATCTCCCACTCCCTGTCACACTCTCGCAAGCCCTTGAAAGTAACAGAAACCAGTGGGTTACTATACCTTCTAAAGGAATCCTTCTCCCCTTCCTTTGCAGCTACCCCAAACTTTCCAAAACTAACGGAGGCCGAGATAGATTTTCATACTTCTCATCCTTCCACTTTAAGAATGAACTTAAGTGGAACTTCGCTGAACTTAAGGGGGGAAAAAAGTGATGGTAACGTGTCTAACCTTTGTCATGTAACAAGAATGTCAGGAAGAGCAAACCCATGGACCTGGCCCAGGCCTGGTGCGACATGGCCGGGTGGGTGGGCTGCTCTGGCCAGCGGGGCCCATGGCGCCCACCAGCGTCCCGGCTCCGCGACCGGCCGCACCTGCGCCCCTCTCCCCGCTTTCCCTCACCAGGCACAGGAGGCATCTGACTCATGTGGGAGTCTTCCTGACTGTGTGAGGCGCCTTGCCTGGGTCCAGGACGGCGCACGCCTTCTCCCAGCCTCCGCGGTCTGCTCCACCTCCCCAAAGTCAGCACCCGTCTCCTCACATCCGCCCCCAAAACCTCACCATCCCGCAGCTTTCGGCCCCTGGAGCGCCGGGCTACTTAGAGCGAATCACAAGTGGGCTTTCATTTGGGCGATTACGAACTCACCAATTCTCACCGCTCTTTCAACGCCCAGCTTCCCTCTCATTAGCTTACGTTTGCCGGGGCTCCAGAGGACGCCCAGCGTGGTGGGTGGGCACGCCGCCCCGCGACGCGCCCTCCGATTGGCCCATGCCGGCAGATCCTGGGACCGCCCTCAGGTTCGATTGGATGGCGGCGATCCGGCTCTCTTACACGCCCCCCCACCCTGTCAATCACACCATTCGATCAGCGTAACGCGAAGGCCGTGTGTCCGCGGGCCTCCCTGCCTGTCACCATGGAGATGTTGCAGCTTGGCGGTGAAGTGCCTCCACCTCAAAATCAAGAAGACATCAGTGCGAGTTCTGGTGTCTGACAAACATCTCGATCCTCGACCCACTGGCCTGGGGTTGGGGTAGATAGGCCCGGCTTTGCGGGACAAGTCTTAACCGGTCCGTAATAACCTTCCTGAAGAAAACCGTGCCCAAAGCGCTAGTTACAATATTATCATCCTTACCTCGCAATGGTTTTATCGACGTTATGCTTCCACTTTAGCATTAAGTGGACTGAGGCAACCCCCAGCGGACAGACTGGGTCAGTCACAGCCCCAAGCAGGCAGAACTGAAACTAGCATTCAGGCTCTGGCTTGACGGAACGGCTTGCAGCAACTTGCAATCATTATGTTCCAAAGCCATGACCTGTAAGACCGAGAGAAGATTCCATCAATGAAGCCAACCAAAGCAGGTTCTCGTGCCCCACTGTGGAATCAAGGCCTGAGTGCTAAATCTGAGAGCCGCAGTCTCCATGCTTTTTACCTTATACAAACTTGGGATACGTGGGAAGCAAGCGATACAATCCTGGAGGATTGGGGCTTTGGTTTGAGAACTGAGTGACAGTTCTCTGAGTGAAACCGGAGGTCGTTGACTGTCATAGACTGCGTATCTCAAATTTGTTCTACATTCCAGGCCTCACTGACTGTCACATAAACAACACTTTCTTTTATGCTTAGCAACTTTTCTTGGCCCAGCAAAGAGTTCTGCGGTTTAGAAAGCCATTCTTCTGATTAATTCATTCCCTTAGAATGGAGTGTTAACTGTAGCTATGCGGTGTTGGAGATTGTGGGGAACCGTAAGAAATTGCACATTGCTGCCTTGATAGCTTGTATGAGGCTTTGCAATGTTAGGTCAACAACACCCGAAGCAACCAGGAAACACTTCAAGGCAAGATATGAGGATACTTCAGGAAGCTTACGGAAGTGGAATTAAAAGATGCTTATTCTGGGACAAAAAACTTTCAAAACCCATTGCAAACAAGGAGTTTTATAAGAGTTTATGGGAAAAAAAAATATATGAAAAGACTGTGCCTAGACTTCAAGGGGTTTTTTGGAGGGCACCGAGACAAACTTCTCTTTCAATTCCATTTTCCATGAAGTTTTCAAGTACCCTTTTATAACGATGAGCCAAACCTGAATTATATGTTGCTTTAAGGATGGCAATGTTTATAATTGCAAAACAATTCATAACCATTAGAGTGCTTCCTCACTTGTATTTTTGGGGGACACTTTGGGCTAGCATAAAGGGGGGTGTCTTCATAGTTGCTATCATATGAACATGATTTGGTTTCCCAATTCATGCAGATGTCAAAACTCTAAAGGTTTAGGTAAATTGAGCAGAGGATGGGAACTTAATTCAGTTACAGTAAATGAACTTAGGGTCTTTGAGAAGTGACTGGATCAGTAGTATAGGTTGCTCCAGTGGAGCCGCTTGTTCACATCGTGATGGCTTTATAAGAAGACACCAGTGTGAGGGTATTCTTTCTCTCTTGCTTCCCGGCCCTCCCTTGACACCCCTTCTGCCTTCACTACCCTAAAGATGACACTGAACTACAGAGGCTGCCCGATCTTGGAGCACGTACCTCTAAAACATGAGCCAAAATGAACATTTCTCCCTAAGTGGTCAAAAGTTTCATATAATACAAATTAACTTCCTTACTTTTTTTGTCAAAAGATCTATTTATTTATTTATTTGAGAGGCAGAGCAGCAGAAAGAGATGAAGAGACAGATGGTCAATGTCCCAGGCTGATGTCAGAAGCCAGTACCTCCATTCTGGTATCTGATGTGGGTGACAGGATCTGAAGGACTTGGGCTATCTTCCACTGCTTTTCTCAGGCACATTTGTCAGAAGCAGAGTAACCGCACTGGAACTGGTACTCTTAGGAGATGAGATGGGATGCTGGCGTTGGAAGTGCCAGTGTAACTTCTTGGCTACAACATTTGCCTCAACCTCCTTACGCTTCTAATGATCAAAATAGTTTTGTTGCAGATTAGGAATAGGCATGAATGAGGTGACACTATAAAAATCTTCCTGGATGAATGTAACATTTTTAGATTTTTTTTCTTATAAGAAGTGGTATTCCTTCCAAACCCTCCACCAAGCCTTGCTAGGAGTAATTAGTATTCTGATGAACTTATGGTGTACGCTCTCAACAGAAATGAGAGAAGTATTGTCACCATAAAGCTTCATCTTTTGCTAGTTCTGCATCAAAAATGTGTTTCCCATTCTAGAGAAGACTGATTACTTGACCCTTCAAACAGTTGATATTTAAAAAATTATTTTCTTGGTCCTACATGGCTAAATCCTCACCTTGTAAGTGCCAGGATCCCCTATGAGTGCCAGTTCATGTTCCAGCTGCTCCACTTCCCATCCAGCGTCCTGCTTTTGGCAGTAGAGAATGGCCCAGAGCCTTGGGACTCTGTCCCCACATAGAAGACCCAAAAGAAGCTCCTGGCTTATTGGCTCAGCTCCAACTATTTTTGGAACACTTAGGGAATGAACCAGTAGATGGAAGAGCCTTCTTTCTATGTCTCCTTTTCTCTGTAAATCAGCCTTTCCAATAAAAATAAACAAATCTCTTTTAAAATTTTTAAAATGAAAATTGTTTTCTGTATGCCAAATATTATATAGTACCTATCCACATTACTTCACGTTTATGCGCCACAAGGGTACTCTCAAAAATTAGTGAGAAATGAAATTAAAAGGTAAAATTTGTTTTGTTGCATAATTTTCTAAAATCCATGCAGAAAACAGGTATTCAAAAAGTTTATGAAAAATGCATATTAGTGAAAAAACCATTCATAGAATTCAAGTTATTTCACACCAAAATAAAGTTACCTTAATTCCATATTTAACGAGCTTGTACTACTCATATTGTCCTTGAAGAGCGAGTAAGTGCCATTTGTATCTGTGTGTGTCATTTTGTTAAATTTAATTTTCTCCTAAATAAAGTCAAAGAAACAACCACAAATCAGCTTCCTTTCCTTCTCCAATGTGTCAGATGTTATGGTGACTGAAAAAGGTAAGGGAGTAAAGAAGAGGCCATGAAAGTTATGGAGTAGACAAAATAAGTTCATGAAAAGCAAAAAAGTTTTGTTGTTCGTTATGTATAAAAATGTTTCAGAAACTGAAGTGGTTGTTGCTGAGGCTCAGAAGCTGTCACTGCTCCATTCTGCCAGCAGGGAAACCTCGCAAACAAAAGTCCTCTCCAGTACTCTTGCTGGTAAGTGAAAACCAAGTTACTAGCCTTCCAAGGCCACCCACAAGAGTCACCATCTTTCCAGATCACAATATGTACTTGATGTTGTAGACTAGGGTTGACCTGTGAGTCTAATATAGCCTATTATCTGTTAATAAGTTCTGATAACCCACTACCATCGGACCAGCCAGCCCATTATCTGTATTTATTTATTTTGAGAGAAAAGAATGGCTTGTAGGCTGACATTGAGCTGTTTAAATGGTTGGGGGAAAACCAAAAGAAAAAATACTTTATGACATGTGAAAACTGTATGAAATTCAAATGTCAGTGTCCCTAAGTGAAGTGTTACTGGAGGCATGTTCATTTGTTTTCATGTTGTCTATAGCTGCTTTGTTTTTTACAGCCAAGCTGAGTAGTTATCATGGAGGTTGGGTGGCCCACAGCCTAAAATATTTACTTTTCAGTCCCTTAAGAAAAAGTTTAAATTCTTACTATATTGGAGGTTTCTCAAGAATCAGACCTGATGGGCTGTTGGGAATGAAAAAGGCTTTACTGGGGTCAGGATTGTGACACAGTGGGTTAAATCTCACTTCATAGGAGAGCAATTTTGAGTCCTGACTTGTTCTGCTTTGATCCAGCTTCCTGCTAATGCACCTAGCACAGCAATGGAAGATGGCCCATGTACTCAAGCCCTATTGCCCGGGATCCTGGCTTTCAGAAAGTCTTTTTCTGTTTCTCTCTCTCCTTGTATCTCCTTGCCTCTCTCCGATAAATTCAAATAAACAAGTAAATAAATACATTTAAAAACTTTATAAATTATGTAAAAAGTCTCCTGTTGACATGGATAAGCTACTTCTTGCCTAAAATCATAGCCAGTAGACAGAACTGGTTCTAGGAATCAGGTTCCATTGGGCCAAGACATCTTTTATGTGCATTGTCTGTTTTCATGTGGAGCTTATCTTACTTAGGACGGGATAGGCATTATATAGTCTGGGGGCAAGGAGAATTCATCAGAAAGTTTCCTAATTGTGATCTCAAGTCCCAGTCCCACAAATACGGTGCCAGGTATCTGAACTTATGAATTCCTGGACTTCTGATGATTGAGTTCAGCTAATTGAGTTCCCTTCTGTTTTCTGTTTTGCTCACTTATCAAAAGGTGCACACCATCATGGAATACTTTATCCCTTTTAATGCTCTTTCTCTCTTAGTAACAATCTCTCTCCTCTCTTTTGCTTCAACAAAGGAATCCAAAGGTGGAAGAGCTTCTGTTCCAGTGTAAACTCCTTGAGGGAGGT